TATTTGAGAGCTCCATTGCAAGATTTTATCTTTGGATTTTGGAGTTAGTAGAAACCACCTTTGACAACTTAAAAGAAGCATTATGGGAGAATGGTTTTCACCCTTAATGCTACTATGTTATGTCATTGGTAGTCTAAAGATGATCATTAATAGTGTAATGGGAAGTACCTCATAGCAAGTTTTATATATATAGTGTCCTCTGGCAAGGAGATAGGGATATGTTCTGTAAATAGGTGGGGATGTAGGGGAGTTTGTCATCCTTAATTGCATTCTAGAAAGAAATTAACATAATGGTTAGAATCACTGGAAAGAGAATACAGGAAGAAATAGACAAGTACAGGGCATATAGAGGTGTGGCTCTGTGACCAGGCTTGTAGTTTTAGATAGCAGTGACTGCTGAAAATAATTGTTTTGGTATTTCCCCTGATTTAAGGATATCTAGTCACTGCTGGATTAGGGAGTATTTCCTAGGAGCAGATTTCATCTAGATTGATTGGGAAAAATCTGTGCTCAGTGCCTAGGAATGAGCCTTTAAAGGAATTGGGTGCAGGCTTTAGCACAGGGGAAAAGATCCTACAGGACTTGATTCACCTAAATGAATCAGCTAACATCTCTGCTATCACACAAAACTTTTATAAATACATGGTTAATATTATAATAAAACCATTTTAGTTTCTTTTTTTTGTTTGTTGTGAGGCTTGAACTCTGGGCCTGGAGAATGTCCCTCAGCTCTTTAGCGCTACCACTTGAGCCACAGCGCCATTTCCACAGTAAAAACCATTTTAGTTGTAGGGTTTTCCAGCATGGAAAGTACTTTGAAATTACTTGCAATCACACACTTGAGGAGATACTGGTGACTTCTCCCAAACTCCTACTTCCAGTGTTATCTTTTGTGTGTTCCCCCACCCCTCCTTTGGCAATTCACCGCAGTACGTATAGTCAGTGTGATACCCATTATTTCACATTTTTTCTGAATGTATGTGTGTTTAGGAAGTAAAAGTACCTAAAGTCTACTCTTTAAAAGTAGCCAGTACATATTAACTGTATTACTCATGTTGTTTTTGTTGACTATTTCATGTAAAACATGTAATACTACCAGCTCCTGGTGGCTCAAGCCTGTATTCCTAGCTACTCATGCGGCTGAGATTGTGGTTTGAAGCCAGTCCAGGCAAAAAAGTTTGAGACTCTTCAATTAACCACCAAAAAAACTGGAAGTGAAGAGGCTCAAGTGATAAAGAGTGCTAGCCTTGAGAGAAAAAGCTCAGTTCCAAGGCCCTGAGTTCACGCCTCAGGACATGCATCAAAAAACAAAACAAGAAAATTAAACATGAAATGCTGAAAATTAAACTATGTGATTGTCTTTACTTTTGTCATATTGAAGTTGCTAACCTTGTTATATAAGTAGCTGAAGAGTTAGAGAAATTAAATCTATCTTATTTCATTGAAGGACTATTGGAAGTGTACTTCGTGCAATGAAATGAATCCTCCCCTTCCATCACATTGCAACAGATGTTGGGCCCTTCGTGAGAATTGGCTTCCAGAAGATAAAGGGAAAGATAAAAGGGAACTCTCTGAGAAAGCCAAACTAGAAAATTCAGCCCAGGTAGAAGAGGGCCTAGATGTGCCTGATGGTAAAAAAATAATGGTGAGTGATTCTAAAGAGTCATGTGTTGAGGAAAATGATGATGAACTCATACAAGCTTGCCAATCACAAGAAAGTGAGGACTATTCTCAACCATCAACTTCGAACACCATTATCAGTAGTAGCCAAGAAGATGTCAAAGACTCTGAGAAGGAAGAAACACAAGATGAAGAAAGTATGAAATCTAGCTTTTCTCTCAATGCCATTGAGCCATGTGTAATTTGCCAAGGTCGACCTAAAAACGGATGTATTGTTCATGGTAAAACAGGACATCTTATGTCATGCTTCACATGTGCAAAGAAGTTAAAGAAAAGGAATAAGCCCTGCCCAGTATGTAGACAACCAATTCAAATGATTGTACTAACTTATTTCAGCTAGTTGATCCATTCCTCAAAGTGGAATTATATATTGCTAACTATATAACCCTAAAAATGTATAAAACATAGATTTTTATTTTAATCTACATATTCAAAACAAAGTATATTGGTCCATATAAGTTTCTTTGTAGTGTAATTTGCCTATTTTGGGAGGAGGAAGAGTGAATATTCCTTTCAAAAAGGACAATTTTCCTTTTATGTTATATCTTTGAATTTCATTGTTATATACAGTGGCTATGTAACTCATGGTTTTTTTTTTGGGGGGGGGGGTCCAGTCGTGGGGCCTGAACTCTGGGCCTGGGCGCTGTCCCTCAGCTCTTCAGCTCAAGGCTAGCGGTCTACCACTTGAGCCACAGCACCACTTCTGGCTTTTTTCTTTTTGCTTATGTGGTGCTGAGGAATGGAACCCAGGGCCTCAGGCATGCAAGGCAAGTGCTCTACCACTGAGCCACCTTCCCAGTCCCTGTAACTCATGTTTTACATTTTTCTCTTATAAGACAATTTTCTGTTACATGTATCTGAATTCAAGGTTTCTTTCTCCCCTCCCCCCTTTTGGTGCTGAGGATTGAACCCAGGACCTTGTGCACTTGTGCATACTAGGCAAGCACTTTACTACTTCCACTATAAGACAGGGTCTCATTGCTTCCTTTGCCTGGCACCATCCTCCTACCTCTACCTCTTAGTAGTTGGGATTACAGATGTATACCACCATGACACATGAACATACTTTTCATGTAAAAAAGAAAAAGTATGTATAATAATGTAATATTAAAATTTTAGGTACTCTTATTAAAGTCTCCAGTCCTTAAGCTCTCTATTTAGAAGTTGTTATATTTGGTGCTATACAAGTAAAACATCTTATTCAGGCTTTTTACTATAGTATGGGATGCAGTAATGTTGTCAGTTGAGGATAGCCATTAGCCCTAAAAAAAATTTTTTTTAAATAGTGCTAGCCCTGAGGCTTGAACTCAGCCTGGGTAGTGTCCCTGAACTGTTTTTGCTCAAGGCTAGCACTCCACCACTTGAGCCATAGACCCAATTCTAGCTTTTTGGTGATTAATTGGAGATAAGAATCTCTTGGACTTTTCCTGTCTGGCTGACTTTGGACTTCTGTCTGCAGATCTCAGCCTCCTGAGTAGCATTAAAGCCACCAACACTTGGCTAAAACTACCCCCAGTAATGGGGCTTGAACTCAGGGCCTGGCATTGTCCCTGAGCTGCTTTTGCTAGTGCTCTACCACTTGAGCAACAGCACCACTTCTGGCTTTTTATGTTTATGTTGTACTGAGGAATCAAACCCTGGGGCTTTATGCATGGTTGGCAAGCACTCTACCACTGAACCACATTCCCAGACCCTGGCTAAAACTTTAAGGCTCCCTTTTTGAAGTGTGGAATTTTCCTGGGATATTCTTGAGCTCAGTTTTTTTTTTTTTTTGTTGGTCGTGGGGCTTGAAGTCGGCCTGGGCGCTGTCCCTCAGCTCTTCAGCGCAAGGCCAGTGCTCTACCACTTGAACCACAGCGCCACTTCCGGTTTTGGTGGTTTATTGGAGATAGGAGTCTCATGGTCTCTCCTGCCCGGGCTGGCTTTGAACCGCGATCCTCAGATCTCAGCCTCCTGAGTAGCTAGGATTACAGGCATGAGCCACCAGCGCCTGGCTTTTGGGCTCAGTTGTTTTGGATGGTTGTCTAGATTTTAGATCTGTACTTTTATTCAGTTTCGGAAACCAGTAAATTGAGAAGGATTATTTCAGAAATTTGATAAACAGAACTATTCATTTAAAAACTAGCTGGAAAGGTGGTAGTTTGTCCACCACCTTTAAGAAAGAATTAGAGCATGACATTGTAAAATGGTCTTTCAGACCATATATATTGACTTTTTAATTTACCATAAGTATCTTCAACAGAATAGTGAAAAATAATCACCTTCACCTTAAGGTTCCAGTACTCTTCTCGTGTGTCTGACAGTTTTATATATATTCCTCAATTAGACCTATAAGTTTAGAAGAGATCCAAGGAATAACTTTGCATATCCTGTTTCTAGTAGTCAATTATTAGATTGAATAAAAAAAGCATCTCCCTTCCCCAACTCATCCATCTATAGCATATCTTAAATAGGAAACAAACAGCCAATGGGATCAGTACTTTAGTAGTCCTGAAGTAAAGGAGAGAGAGCTTTAATAATTTGAGACTTAGTACTTTATACTTTAGGAAGAAAAGAGGATTAATAAGTTCATCCTTCTAGGAAAGTTCATAGACCATAACTGATGCAAATTAAAGTGCCTGCCATGAATGCTGTTGACTCAGCTTTCAACTGAACAAATGGTGTTTCATTTTACATGCTTATAGTTGGCTAATCTTGTTTGTCTAAATTTTTAGGTTTAGTATATGACTTATTTATTTATTTGCAAATAAATGAAGAACTGTTGCAAGAATGTGACTATTGGCTCTTATGAAGTTGTGGGTTTTTCAATAATATTCTTTGTGTAATCAAAGACAAGTTTGAATGTTTTTCTTGGAGTGAATGTGCCTTTCTACTTTAGAAAATACATGCATGAGGGTCTGGGAAGGTGGCTCAGTGGTAGAGTGCTTGCCTCGTATGCATGAGGCCCTGGGTTCAATTCTTCAACTCCACATAAGCAGAAAAAGCCAGATAATGGTACTGTGGCTCAAGTGGTAGAGTACTAGCCTTGAGCTGAAGGACAGGGCCCAGGCCCAGAGTTCAGGCCCCATGACCAACCAAAAAAAAAAAAAAAAGAGAGAGAGAAAAAGAAAATACATGTTTGATATAGTTTTGGAGTTTTTTGGGTTTTTTTGTTTTTGTTTTTTTTGTTGGTCGTGGGGCTTGAATTGTGGGTCTGGGAGTTATCCCTGAGTTCTTCAGTTCAAGATGAGTGCTCTACCATTTGAGCCGAAGTGTCACTTCTGGTTTTCTGGTGGTTAATTGGAGATAAGAGTCTCCTGGACTTTTCTACCTGGACCGGCTTTGAACCATGATCTTCAGATCTCAGCTTCCTGAGTAGCTATGATTACAGACATGATCAACCAGCACCTGGCTGTTTTGGAACTTTAGAGACATTGATTCAAAGCAGGTTGATGTTGTAGAGAGTGGGGGCTGGGCATGCTATTGGCTCTATATGTTACTCATTTGGACATCAAGTGGCAGGCTGACTGAAGTAGCTTTTTCATAAGAGATAGTGTGTATGGTCTGGCCCTATTGTAATTGCCTGTTTCCTTCTCTAGTCATCTTCTAAATTAAATTCTGTGAAGCCTGGATCTTCTGGGTTATGATGTGGGTATGTACGTGCTCAGTAAGAATATTAAATCAAAGCTGGGGAGCTGAGTTTGAAATTGGCTTTAAAAGAACATAGGGATCTCAGGTCCAAAAGCCAGAGGATTAATTCCTAGCATGGTTTAGCTTAGATTTTCTCTTATTTTCTTTCTTTTTCTTTCTCCTTCCTTCCTTCCTTTCCTTCCTCTCTCTCTCTGCCCTGTCTCTCTCCTCTCTCCTCTCCTCTCTCTCTCCTTTTTGTCTGTCCTGGGGTTTGAACTTAGGGCCTGGGCATTGTTCCCTGAGCTTCTCTTGCTCAGGACTAACACTCTACCACTTGAGCCATAGTACTACTTCTGGCCTTTTCTGTTTATGTGGTACTGAGGAATCAAACCCAGGGCCCCATGCATGCCAGGCAAGGACTGTATCACTAAGCCATATTCCTAGTCCTTAGCTTAGATTTTCTTAAGTTAAAATAAGCATTTCAAAGATAAGTTTAGTGTGTAGGTATACAGACTCATAATAGTAAACATAAATTGCCATGGCATTGTACTATAAAAAAGATAATAGTTTTACTTTCTGGTTGGATTCTGACTTGTATTTTTATATCTACAATTTTTTTTTTTTCCAATCCTGGGGCTTTGAACTCTGGGCCTGGGTACTCTCCCTCAGCAGCTTTTGCTCAAGGCATTTGAGCTATAGCAACACTTCCAGCTTTTTCTGAGTAGTTTATTGGAGATGAGTCTTACAGACTTTACTGCTGGGCTGGTTTTGAACTGCAGTCTCAGAGTTCTCAGACTCCTGAGTAACAAGGATTACAGGTGTAAGCCACTGGCGCCTGGAAAAAAATTTTTTTTTAAATATCAGAGTTAAATTTTAGTGTTTCGTTTTTGTTTACAACTTCCTATGTTTACCAACTATTATTAATTTTACAGGATTATACAATTCATTGCCTTTTTTTTTCCGTTTGTGCTGGGGATTGAACCTAGGGCCTCGTGTTAAGCATCCATTTTACTACTGAAATAGGCTACCAGGCTTGCTTCAGTGCATTTTATTCCCATTCTTTAAACTTACCTTGGCAAGGGAAAGAAACAGTATTCACTATGTGAATAGTCTTTATTGAGAATAAAATACTCTAAATTTATTAAACCCAGAGGTAGTCATGTCCCCTTCCAAATAAACTTTACAGTGTTTTTACATTTAATCGGTTCTTAATTATAGTATAAAAGGAAGTCACCGTGAAAGCTTATAAAATCAGTTATGAAATCTATAAAGGCTATGGAGTTATTAGTAGGCTAAATATAAAAATCGTTGTTTGCAGTAATGCTTCTCTTTTAGTAAGTAGGAACTCAGCACACTTTCTAATCTGGCCATTATTTCCTTCCCATCCACCTAGTCATGAAGAAGATATACATGATTGCGCATAAAATAAATATCAATTGTATTGCTACATAGACTAAGAAATGTCTCAATAGAGAACTTACATTGTTGGAATTAAGACAATATGCTATGCTTATTTTTCTAGGAAAATATAGTTGCAGTCCAGCACCAGTTTATACTTTCTAAACACAGGCTAGCTTAACACCATTTTTAGATAGATTACAAATGTAAATTTCACTGTGGGGGGGGGAAGAAAACATTCTTTCAGAAGTGTTGAAAGGAGGCTTTGAACATTGATGACATTCAGCAGCTCTTGTGATTAAGCACCAAAATCAACACTGACACTTTTGTTCTCAGGACTTAACATTCCTGTAAAATACATTTCTCTATGATAGATGTCGTTTACATTTAGGTTCAGGTTTATGACCATCGTTTCCCCATTATTTAGTCATGATCAAATTTGATCA